CCGGGTTGATGTTCGCTGTGAACTTTTGGAAGCAGAGTCGTTTCGCTTCTTTAGCCATGCGTCGAAAATTAGCGTTCGATCTCTTGTACTCTATTAAGTTTTCAAGCGTTTGACAACGTTTGTATTCGTGAAATGCCTGTTGCTTCTTTGATCTAAGAGACGCTAGATTGGCGTTCCACCATGGTACATTGTACTCGGGTTTTCTACCATTTGTATGTGGTCTAGACAGATTTGCTGCGGAGCGAATTATTTTTTGAATAAGAGCAGCTTCTCTATTGTTGTTATTAGAGGTGGGAATTTTGTTATTTGCCTCTTCACATAGATCTGAAAATTTACGCCAGTCAGCGAAGTCAGTTTTGAATATGAATTTTGGTTTGAATTTGGAACGATATCGCTGCGTGTTGATTTTGCAGATAATTGGGTAGTGATCGCTACCGTGTAAGTCGCTTGACAAACTCCAACTGCAATTTGGGGTAAGCGATGCTGAGCAGAAGGTGAGGTCAAGATGCTAGAATGTGCCATGAGTTGAAAAATGGGTTGCACTACCATCATTAAGGCAAATGAGGTCGGAAGTGAGCAAAGCATCTTCAATGTGTTTTCCTCTTGTGTTTTCTTTTGGAGATCCCCATATTGAACTCCAAGCATTAAGGTCACCTGCGAGTATAACAGGTGATGAGACTTGTTGCAGCAAGTATAATATGTCTGCGTTTGAAAAGGTTTGTGTCGGCGGTATGTAGGCGCAAATTATATTAAGTTTAAAACCTAAATCAACCTCGATGGCAATAGCATATATTGAGGATTGAAGTATTATTCTTTTAAAAGTCAAGCATTTTTTTAACCAACACTGCGACACCCTGTTTACTTGAAGCTATGTTTGACAAGTTATGGAATATGCCTGAATAGCGCTTCGGGTGAACTGCATTCGCATTGTAAGGTAAATGCGTTTCATTTAGTAGAATTACTGAGGGTGAGTGGGATTGCACCAAGAGCTGAAGCTTATGGTAATTGTTGTAGAAACCGTTCATGTTCCATTGTAAAATGGAAAACATGATTGTAAGAAAGGGAATATAGGTTTAGCTTGGAAATATGATTTGTGTTTTGAGTTATTTTCGTTTGTTGAGTTATTCGTCAAAATGAGACATGGCCTCGTCGTCTTCTGAGGTCATAAGAGAATCGCCTCCATGAGAAAGACAGCTGTTGTTTGAGTTATAAACTGTGTTACTTGTGTTGTTGGTGTTTGAGAGGTAAGTTGAGAAGTTTATAGGTGAGTTTGAGTTTGAGTTAGAAATTGTTTTACTTGTTGGTTGATAGTGAGTTCTTTGTTGTTGCATGAGAGCGTGATAACTTTGCTCGAGCTCTTTAGAGTAGTCGGGTGCTGTGAGATCGTGTAAATTGGGATCGGAATCGGGAGAGTTCTTCAACTATAGCGGTGGGTGTTTTATGTATGTGAGTTTGTATATTGTTTTCTGATAATGGTTGTTCGTTTGGAGTATTTTCGTAAGAAGTTGATTGCGAATTGGTAGGTATGGGATTTGAGGTTGAGTTAAAGTGCTGAATTTGTTGCCTGCTATTTTGCTGATGAGAGACTGTCGCTGAGAAAGAAGGCGAGTTTTCGGGGAAAGAGACAGTTGAGTTATAAATTTTAATAGCTTCACGCATGGTGCATTTCTTTGTTTTTTTAATTGCTTGTATTTACTTTGCTTGTATATATTTTGGACAGTTGTTTGAAGAAGCTCCGTGATCAGCCTGGCAGTTGGCGCAGAAAGTGCGTGTGAATTTTTGAGGGTTGTGGGGAGGAAGACTACAAATGTTACAAGCTGCTTTTCCTTTGCAGTGCTTTATGGTATGTCCAAGCAATTGACAATTTTTGCAACGCATGGGATTTGGTATATATTGTCTGACGTTGACTCTACGCCAGGCAATATCAATTTGTCCAGGTAAGTTGAATAAATCGAAAGTGAGCAGCACGACGCCATTTGGAGTAAGTTGGTTGTTTTCATTTTTCCTCTGAAATTTGAAAGCGGCAACTACACCTTGTGCACTTAGCTCGCTAACAATTTCGGTTTCACTTACATTGTGTAGGAAGGGGGCGAATACTGTACCTTTAGTGAAGTTCAGGTTGTCGTGATACTTAGCTTTGATGCTACAGATTCCTGGAAGTTGCTTTAAAGCAATGAAGCGATCGCCTACTTTTTTGTTGTTCACCAATAATAACAGTTTACCATCACGGAGCTCACTCACTGAATTAATATCGCTACTCACCGCGCGTATGGCTTTGTGTACAGAAAAGCAAGAAAATTGCGCAATGGATTTATTTGATTCGGTAGATTCGATTGTAATATATTTAGGGTCATTATTACTTCGACTGATTGAAGGTAGAATTGGGAAGTCAAATATATCAGTAATATCGATTTTTTGTTTAAGTCTTTTATCTTTTTTCTTTTTTATTCTGGAACTATCGGCAAGCGAAGCAAACCGATTCGTCCCAAGGGCGGTGGGCCCGGGGACCACTGTTGAACAATGATAAGTTGGATAATAATTTATTCGCTTGAAACTGAAATATATTGTGAAAGAATAAAATCAAAGCACGTGGATTACACCACAAGTAACTAAAGAACGAAATGCACACACGGGAATGAGATAACCGCTCGCTCTGAGTGATAGTCGGAGACTGACGTGTTGATTATCAGTTAGTATTGATGGCTGTCTTGGATGTGGTTCGTCGTCAACGCGTTCTCAACGCTCTTTGAATAATTTGTACCAATCAAAAACACTTGCTGGCGACAAACAATTATCACTGAACGTTTCGGCGTCAGAGATTTTTTTCCGCACACAAAAATTAATGGAACTTCTTTTTTGAATGATTTTAAAAGTATTTTTTGCTCACAGCAGTACAGCGAATATTTTGGATCTTTTGTGTATACATTTTTTACGTTACGTTATCTTTAATAAATTTCTTATAAAAGCCCGCAGCTTCTAAAGATCTTTCAAACTGTTTTTCAGTTTTTGGAAATTTTAGTTTCTGTATGGCTTGAATTTCGTCAGGGTTAGGTTAATACCTTCTTTTATTAATATATGTCTAAGTCACTGTGTTTCCTTTTTCAGCCGTTTTTTTTTTTTTTTTTTTTTTTTTTTTTTTTTTNTTCTCTGTCTATAGTCAACTAGACTTAAGTATATATAAAAATAAGTTGGGTTTTTGTCTGTTCGCTGTTGCTGACTAAACCGTTGCATGAAATGAAAAATGGTCTGAACTGACTTAAATGGGAATCCAAAAACGATGGTTTCTTAAAAAAAAATCAGAACATGTTCATTTTTAACCGACTTACGAACGCAAATTAAACAAAATATATATATATATAAATAAGAAATTAATTCTTACTAACAACAGGGAATATTAAATTTAAGCAGAGAATTTAGACGGAGATGGTGTTATTTAACATTTAGCTAAGCTGCAACACACTGATTATCGAGAGTAAATTCTGAAAGGTTCGATCAAAATGTATAATACCAAGTGAAACATGTCACTCTTATTGACATCCAGTTTGTACAGATTTGACATTTCATATGGATTTCCCGTTACATTTGTGATATACGCGCGAATAATGAGATAATTTACGTAAACTTTAATATGACGTGCACTGGAAATCCGAATTAGGTGTAGCGATTTCACAAAAATGAAGCTCAACCGAATCCTAAAATGTAGTAAAATGAGTCTGAGGCTGCTGTGAAACAAACATTTTGTTTCCAAATTGTACAAACTGAAAAATGGAGTAGAGAAATAATTTTCATGAGTCATTTAAAGTATAGAATTTTGTTAGAAATAAACAAGATAATTTAAAAATGGTTTATACTTGCAACGCGACTACACACTATGCAGCAGTCGTATGCGGAATTAAATCCATTTTGCTTAAACATATTGTCTACATATACTGAACGTACCTATATATGACAAGTAATTGGGAACGGAAATTATGTTATTTTCCAATAAACCAATACGAGGTGTTTTCACTCATTATATTGATACTTATCTTACACCTAAACTTTTATAGAAAAAGTTTTATTTAAAATTCGTTTTCGTTATGAAGATTTCAAAAACAACATGTGGAATCAACGATTTGAGTGCGACAACTAATTAGAAACAAAATTATTTTACCAGCAAAAGATATGGATATTACAAAAATTTGCTTCTTTTCAGTTAGTATTTTGCTGTTTAGCCTTTTTACTTTAAGATTGCTTCACATTAATTGCGAATTCGCATTATAAGACCTTGACAGGGCATCACTGGTGTTGTTTGCCATGTCGTCCTAATTTCATCAAAAAGAACATCAATATTTGGAACATCATTGCTGTTTACAACTTTCTTAACATCACCCCAAAGATATTATATAGGGTTGATCTGGGCTAAACGATGGCCACACCAAATCATTGTTTAAATTTTCATCAAAACACTTCTGTCAAAATTTTGCCGTATGCTTTGGATCGTTATCTTGTTGGCATTTCCATATAACAGATAAATATTTCTCAGCTTTGACAATGTCTACGTATTGCTGCTTGTTTAAAATTCCATCAATCTTATAGAGTGTACCAACACCACACCAGGTAAAATATTCCCAAACCATGATAGATCCATACCATACTTCACTTCGCGTGAAACATAGCGTGAAACATAAACGGCGAATATACTTTCGACCATCAGAACTTATGCGATTAATTTTTGTTACATCGCCATACTTCCATTGTCCAAGACCAATAGGAGTTTGCAAAGTCTACGCGTCGTTTTCTTTGAATTTTAGTCAGAAGTGGTTTCCTGCGTGCTGCTCTGCCGTGATGTTCAGATTCGACCAAACGCCAGGCAATTGTTACTTTTAAAACTCTGTATATGCTTAAGGGTATTGAAAACAATTTTTTTTTTATCATTTAACCTGATTCGCAATTATTTGTACGCTTTTCCCGACTGACGAAAGTCAAAAATCTAACTGCGTAGGGCCTCTTTATAAAACTTGAATAATATTATACATTATAGTATATTGTAAAACACAACTTTAAAACACATCTTTGCCAGAAATCAATAATATTATTAATATAAATTAACACCCTGAGGAATTTTTTTAAACAACTTTTAGCTAAGTCGCACTTAGTTCAACTTCTATATCGTAACGTATTTACTATTAGGGGAAAAAAGTACAGAACTTCAACTTCGCAACTACAAAACTGAGAGAATTTAGTAGTAAATAGAGTAATACAAACAATACAAAACTTTTAGGAATATAAATAACGGTATATCAAAACATTTTTTCAACTACAAAAAGGCACAGTTTCTAAATGACTGTCAACAGCTGTATATACTTAAAATTCCTATAGCAGGTAATTCAACAAAAATAAAAGTTACTATTATTATTCTTTCTTTTTTTAAAATAAACAATGTTCTTTTCAGAACTAAAGTGAGAAGGCGAAACATCCCCTACTTGTGCGCTGGGTTTGGGGCCCGCCACGTTAAAAAACACCCCAAATGAAAATTAACAATCAGCCTCGGACGAGAGACTCCTCTTTTGATGACGGCCATGGCAAATTGAGGGCATGTACTTAGAATGTCCGGTCCTTTACTTGGGAAGATGCCGCTGCCCAACTGGCTGATGTCCTCTGGAAAATAAGGCTGACTTCACTGCCGTTCAAGAAATTCGATGGACGGGGTAAGGACAGAGACGAGTATGCCTTTGTGACATTTACTACAGTGGCCATATAAAGGAGCGCAAGATTGGTGTGGGATTCGTGGTGGGAGAAAGACTCCGTCGCCGAGCACTATCATTCATGAACGTGTAGGCACAATAAGCACCAAAGCGAGGTTCTTCAACATATCGCTGATTTTCGCCAACGCCCCGACGGAAGAGAAGGACGATGTAACCAAAAATTCCTTCTATGAGCACTTTTAGCGCGCATATGAGAGCTGCCCCCGCCGCTATGTCCAAATCGGACTTGGCGACTTTAAAGTCAGGGTGGGCAAAGAAGGTATCTTTGGCCCTACGGTCGAACGATAAAATATTCTCAAATGGGTTTAGACTGATCGACTTCGGGATGGGATAGATACCAAGAGTGGAAGAGGGAAGCGAGACGCATTTGCAGACATAAAATGAAAGAGACCGAAATGCGTGAGTATGAAGAGTTTGATAAGCTGACCGATAGGGGCAATACTCGAAAATTCTTCAAAAAAAATGCGGCAGCTTACAGAAGGTTTCAAGACCACAGCATCCACTTGCAGAACCCACAAAGGTGATTTAGTCCCCGATACTCAAAGCATACTAAAATTATGCATTTTCCAGCCTGCTGAATGGCAGTGAAAGTATAACGCCAGGAGAAGGCGAACCCGATTACCCAATCGATGACGATGRAGCAGACGTTCCATTGCCCGATCATGTAGGAGTTTGAATAGAAATTAACGGTCTGAAGAATAACAAAGCAGCGGGGGCCAATGGATTGCCGGCCGAGCTAATTGATCACGGCGGTGAAGAATGATAGGGAGCATGCGTAGAATATGGTCGGACGAAAGCATGCCTAACGATTGTAATTTAAGTGTGCTATGCCCAATCCATAAGAAAGGGACCCCACAATCTGCGCCAACTACCGTGGGATAAGCCTCCTCAAAATCAGTTCTATCGATCGTATTGTGTGAACGATTAAACCCCACCGTCAACAAACTGATTGGATCTTATCAGTGTRGTTTTAGACCTGGAAAACCAACAACCGACCAAATATTCACCATACGCYAAATCTTGGAAAAGACCCGTCAAAGGAGAATCGACACACACCACCTATTTATCCGTTGTTTTGGCGACGACTTGTTGTAAAACGATTTAAAAGCGGGATGATGCGGGAGAATGACTGATTGGCTGGTACGTATAAGCGCACGGATCGAATGAGAAATAGAGGTGGGCGCCGTCCGCCAGTCCCTTTTGTTGATTGTGTTTGGTGTCCTCGTGTGTGGTGTGAAAGGTGTGGTGTAGATGATGATGCGTTGAGTGTGGTGTGTGTAGTGCGGGATGAAAGGATGTTGTGTGGAGTATGGTGTGTATGTGTGGGGTGTAGTGCTATTATTTTAGGATAGGGTCCGATGCAGAAGGCGCTGCAGCGTTGCCACAACGCTGCTCAGACCCGTAGATCGACGGGTTGGAATCGGGATATGCGGCCGTGATGGATGGGTGGCCGATTCACTTCGCGTGCCGAGCTGCGATGTAGCAGCGTGTGATGCGGCCTGTGGCATATTTGGCACAGCCCTCGTGACTCACACTCCGGAGTCATATGTGTATGTGACAGGCAATTGTGGCAATGCCCGTGTGCCTGGGCAACTTTGCCGTTGTTGCCGGTGCAATTGCCGGCGTGGTTGCCCGTGCAGCGGCCGGTGCTGTTGCAACCATAGTTCGGGGCGCTGGTGTAGGCCCGGTGCGTGGCACATTGGTAGCTGCCCGAGCGGTTGACGTGGTTGTAACTGGCGTATCTACATCCATAGTAATCTGTATAGAGAAGATTGTTGATTATTAATCTATAATACAATGAGATGTGGGCCATCGTATCACGGTGTGTGGCATGAATGGGTCGTCGTATTGAACGACCGTTTTTGTTAGTTTTCTTAGTTATCTTTCGACAGTTCATTATGTTTTAGCGATTTGTTATTGTCGTATTTCTCGTTTAGATGCTAAATTTAGTGATTTTATTATATCGTGATATTATCGGTTTTCGGATTCGCGGTCGTCGGTGGTTGATAAAAAGCATAGTTTCACGAGCGGTCTGGTTAGTGTTCCGTTTTGCGTATGGAGATCCACAACCCGTATGTGACCGTCGGAGCCATAATGTAGCTTTTCTATGCGGCCAAGCCGCCACTCGGTAGGGGGTAAACTATCATTATGAATGAGGACACAGTCTCCAAGTTTAGGTGCTTGTTCAGGTGTATTCCACCGATATCTTTTGTCAAGATCCTTTATGTATTCGTCCTTCCATCGGCGGCTGAAATCATGATGGAGAATTTTAATTCGTTCCCATCGATTTAATAGGGATAGCGACTCCACGCCTGGCTCAGGAATGGCCAGGACGGGTGTTCCTTTTAGAAAATGCCCTGGAGTTAAGGCGGTGAAATCTGAGGGGTCTTGCGAGAGTACTGTGAGTGGCCGTGAATTGAGAACGGCTTCAATTCGATTTAATAACGTCGTAAACTCTTCGTAATTGAATTTATAATTTCCAGCTACCCGTTTGAAATGGGCCCATTAACCGCCCATATGAGTAGCGCTTGGGGGTATAAATTGCCAAGTGATACCTTGAGGGGCGTACTATTGTACGATGTCGGGTGACTTTAGATGGGTAGTCACGTCGAGCGACGAAGCGAGCAAATGCCGCGAGAAAAGCCTCCGTCGTCAGATTACTACATGGCTCAAGGTGTACTGCCTTTGTCGTGAAATGTACAAAAACAGCTACATAGCCTTTCATGAGAGGGGGAGACCTTAACATAGACGCCTTTACCTGGAAAGGCCCAGCAAAATCAACACCTGTTGTGGTGAAAGGTAGAGCGAAATTGCAGCGTTCCGGTGGAAGTGTTGCCATAATCTTGCACGTGAAGATGCACTTCTTGATTTGCGGCTTAAGACGDSGGATATAATACTCTTGGCGTACCATATGTTGCATGAGGCGATGTTCGGCGTGTAGCATTAAGATGTGGATGTAGTTGAGGAATAATGTGGAAATGGTGGTGTGGAAATTATTACAGGGTGGCGTT